TCTCCCAAATAAAGCTTGCAAATCCTCCCCAGATCCCAAAGTTGATATCAAAATCTTTCAACTGTCGAATTAATCCATAACCTCACATATCAAACAAGCATAGAAATCTTCCCATAAAATCATATAAATGCTCACGATTGGGATCACTATAAAGAGCTGAACAGCAGGTAGGACTCACAGCCAAGGCAAACCCGAGGCACAAAAGGGAAGGAAACTCACGGCTGAGGCAAACCCAATGAACAACAAGTGAGGCTCACGGTCAGAAGTAACAGAGAGGAACAACCACCAACCCAACTTACCTAAAAGGGAAATCACAAGATGAGGCTCACAGCCAAGGCAGCAAGAAGAAGACCATAAGGACAGCTCACATCTCAGACTCACGGGTAGGGATAACAACCACAACGAGCCAAAATCAAGCTCCAAATCAATATCTCATACTATATGCATTTCCCGAAGGTAAGCCGCAGCGTGGAGTTAAACCAAGGCCTCAAAATAGGTCTTCAAAAGGTCCACAACATTAAATTTTCACATGGTACAGAGTTTGAGCCAAGAGAACAACCACAAGAAGCTAAAACTGATCCCAACATAGGGCCAAAACCGAGCTCACACACATGCACATATATATATACATATATATTTAGCTTTCACAGAGGAGAAATAAACATGGCATTCCACATGCAGTTCGAGCGAGAGAGTAGCTAGAGATGAAAACGGGAGAATCTCTCTTTTACTTTCAACATATATGAGAATGAATCAACATAATGAAGGGGGAAAGTAACTTTTCAAATTTCTTTTATAAGCAAGGCAAGCCTTCTAAAATTTATAAAGTAAGTCATCACACGTGACACCCGAATGTTCCAGATTTTTTTGCAAACATGCCACCAAAAATTTTTCATATTTCACAAATAGGGATCAAGCTATCATTCCTTCTCTATTCTCCCACCCAAACTTTCAAAATTTCACAAATGAGCCAACCAAAAATTTTCATATTTTGCAAAAAGAACACCCAAATATTTCAGATTTCACAAATAAACCACCCAAGAGTTTTCATATTTTGCAAAAAGAACACCCAAATATTTCAGATTTCACAAATAAACCACCCAAGAGTTTTCATATTTTGCAAAAAGAACACCCAAATATTTCAGATTTCACAAATAAACCACCCAAGAGTTTTCATATTTTGCAAAAAGAACACCCAAATATTTCAGATTTCACAAATAAACCACCCAAGAGTTTTCATATTTTGCAAAAAGAACACCCAAATATTTCAGATTTCACAA